GCTTGCAAAAACAATTGTATTTTATTCTACAAAGAGTATGAAACATTGGATATATGCCCTATATGCAATAAGTCGAGGTTCAAAATGACATATCAAAATAGAATGGCTAAGATGGCATAAGGAAAAATGGGTAGACAACGATGTGATGTGGCATCCTGCAGATGGGGAGGCATGGAAAGAATTCGATCGAATGTTCCCCAAGTTTGCTATTGATCCTCGAAATGTTAGATTGGGACTTGCCACTGACGAATTCAATCCGTACGAGGTTCTAAACCAACACCACAACACTTGGCCGATTTTCATATTCCCATATAATTTACCGCCTTGGAAATGCATGAAAAAAGAATACATGATGATGACTGTTTTGATAACTGAGGATCATGGCAGGTCAATCGATGTTTACTTAAGGTCGTTGGTTGATGAGCTCAAGGATTTATGGACAAATGGTGTGCCCAATAAATCCACTGGGAAAATGTTTACTTTGCGGGCAGCAGTTATGTGAACTGTGAATGATTTTCCCACATATGCAATGGTTTCTGGGTGGAGCACAAAGGGTTATATGGCATACCCTGTATGCAAGGAAGATGTAACTTCTGGTTGGCACGCTGGAAAAGTTTGTTACCTTGGTCATCGGAGATGGTTGTCATGGGACCACGAGTGGCAAGAAAATGATAAAGAGTTTGAAGGGAATACAGAGCATCGCCTCAGACCTAGAGAATGGTCCGGCGATCAGATCTTGGAACAGCTTAACCGTTTGGATTTTGCACCATTTGGGAAAACTGTTAGTCGGACCAGACCTTCTACACATACGAACTGGACGCACAAGCCTATATTTTTTGAGCTCCCATATTGGTCGAAACTAAAATTGAGGCACAATCTCAACGTAATGCATGTTGAGAAAAATGTCTTTGACACATTGATGGGCACGATTCTAGATATTTAGGGCAAAACAAAGGACACGATCAAAGCTCGTCTTGATTTGGAAAGAATGGGCATACGAAGGGGTTTATGGATGAGCAGGGACAATGATAAAGTTAGAAAGGATCTTGCATTTTTTTTATGAAACCGAATGACAAAAAAGAGTTTCTAAAGTTTGTATCGTTTGTAAAGTTTTCCGATGGGTATGCTTCTAATATCGCGCGTTGCGTGAATGTTAACAGGGGTAAATTTGCTGGACTAAAGAGCCATGACTGCCATGTGTTTATGCAACGCCTACTTCCTGTGGGTATTCGACACCTATTGCCGGAAGATGTAGTGAAGCCAATCATGTTGTTGTCCAAATTTTTTTCCTAACTATCGGCAAAAAAGTTGCGAAAGACAGACATTAATCAGTTGCCCCATTACATTGTCCAAATCCTATGCAAGTTTGAGATGATATTCCCTCCAGATTTCTTCACAAGTATGATCCACGTGATCATTCACTTGCCAGAAGAGGCATTGCTTGTTGGTCTTGTCAACTATCGCTGGATGTATCCAATAAAAAGGTATATAATCCTCATCATTTGTTTATGCATCATTATCCCATGCTTGCTAATTTGTATCGTATCGTTTTATTTTGGCAGGCTTCTCGGAGAGCTGGAAAAAAATGTACGCAGCAGGGCGAAGCCCGAATGATCAATTATAGAGGCTAGGGTTCAATATGAGTCGCTTACTTTTTGTGGAATGTATTTAAAAGATGTGGAGATGGCTTTCAATCGTACTCAGCGCAATAATGACGAAGGTGTGAGAAATGAGAAACTTTCTGTTTTTGCCCAAAGCACACGACCCTTTGGAGATACTGTACGAGGAGAGTCGTTTTCCAGAAATGACATGGAAGTAGTGCATTGGTTCGTACTGAACAATTGTGATGAGATAATGGCATACTTAGATGAGCATGAAGAGATTAGGAAGCAAGAACATCCATCACATTTGTATGCCAAGAAATACCGTGAATTGTTTCCACAATGGTTTTTGGAATATGTAAGTTATAAGTGTTTTATATTTGACATATATATTGTAGTATTTAATTTTCTCAAACTAACATGTGAATGTTTTTGTATAAGATTAGGTGAATAAGTTGAAATCATCAAATTCCCCCACTTACAGTGAAGAGTTATATAACTTGGCGTTCGGCACGATTCACGCTGAATTGTTCTCGGGTTGCCATGTTAACGGCGTCAAGTTTTTGGGGACTACATGAGATGACAAGTTGTGTACGCAAAACAGCGGTGTCCAGGTCCCAGGTGGAGGCGAAAGTACGGACATTGATTTCTATGGCAAACTCACAACTGTCGTGCAATTGCTTTACAAAGACCAATACCAAGTGATCATGTTTAAGTGTCGATGGTTTGATACAAACCCAAATAGGCAGGGAAGTGTTAAAATCGACCATGGCTTACTATCTATGAACATTAACAGAACTTAGTATGATGACGACCCTTACATTTTGGCAAACATGGCAAAATAGATTGTGTATCCAGATGACCCTAAAGCCGGGAACGATTGGAAAGTTGTTCAGAAGATGAATAAGAGGAACGTGTATGCTATACCAGAACTAGACCCAACTGACAACGACGTCAATAACGTCGCTGACCAACGTTTAGAATCTTCAATGGAGAATGATGCCGAAACACTTCGAGATACAAATGTTATACAAGAACCGTTTCAAATATAAGGAGTGTCTTCAATCGAAATACCGATTCAATCAATCACAATTGACCTCGGTGATTTTCCACGATACGATGTTGAAGTGGGCCCAAACAACGACGGTGATGTAGTTATAGAGGAGGAGGATTGGGAGATTGAAAGTGATGATAACGACGATAACGAAAGTTATTATAGTTCAGATGATGAATAATGCAATTTATTTGCGACTTGCCATGTAAAACATAGTAAATGATTTTTTTTGTAATTTCATTATGTTAGTGTAAAGATTTTGTGGTATCCACTACTGAAACTTAAACTGGAGCCCTCACATCATCTAATATAAAAATGCTATAAAAAAATTGCAACAACTTAATGTCATAAATCAATTTTTTTATAACTAAAATTCATCATCAAATTGCATGTAATAACAATCACAACTAAAATTCATCATCAATAGGCAAAAATCCAAAAACTAATATAAAAAAAGTAAGTATGGAAATCATCAATATCGTCACTATAATCAACAAGAAAACCCTTGGGCTTGTTACCCAGGAACTTGTTCAGAAATACTATAAGGAAAGGAACATAGGAGTTTGTCGCTGGGTATTTGACCAAATAGGATCGTCCAGCTCCTAGAGAACCTATCACTAAAATACCCCTAGAGAGGGATAGGGCTAAGCAGAGTGAAAAGGGTTTTCCATGAGATGGGAAATGAAAACTATTAGCCCCATATAGAATGCAATAGAAACAAAGACACATGGAACGGGTTATCTACTCTTAACAGTCAAAGCAAACCCTTGAAAAAAGGAACTGAAGAATGAATACTTTGCAAGAGAGAAAAAACTCAAGAATCCTCGTTTTTTTATATAGCATAACTTAACTGAAGTTTCTTCAGAACACTTATTCGAGCCAAAGCAAATGTTACGAAATAATTCTAAAACAAAATTGTTTTTGTCCACAATTTTTTTTATGCGTATGTAAACCCACTTAACTCAATTCAATAACAAATCTAAATACTAGATTCATCATATATTAAAACAAAACATTGTAAACCCACCTAACTCAATTCAGTAACAAATCTAAATACTAGATTCGTCATATATTAAAACAAAACATTTCATAATAAATCATAATATAATAAAGTAAATAATTTTTTTTTATATAGAAATATTTGATATTTTGATAGAACGGGAGTTCTTTCGTCTCGCAATCCGACTACTATTAATTTGAAGTGGGCTTTTTCTTATTCTATTTCTGTATTCTTTCTAAATTCAAGGACTAACCACTGTACTGAATCACAAAAAAAATCGGAAATATATTCATGGGCTCGATAACTTGTAATAGAACTTATGCTTGATAGAAATATTAGTATCGTATAGAGTCGACGAACGAGGTGCGTTCAGTAAAAATTAAAAAATTCACAGACGAAAAAATGGCAAAAAAGAAAGTATTAATTTCCCTTCTCTATCTTGCATCTATAGTATTTTTGCCTTGGTGGATCTCTCTCTCATTTAATAAAAGTCTGGAATCTTGGGTTACAAATTGGTGGAATACTAGGCAATCCGAAATCTTTTTGAATGATATTCAAGAAAAGAGTATTCTAAAAAAAGTCATAGACTTAGAGGAACTCCTACGTTTGGACGAAATGTTAAAGGAATACCCGGAAGCACATTTACAAAAGCCTCGCATCGAAATCTACAAAGAAACGATCCAATTGATCAAGATGCACAATGAGGATCGCACGCATACAATTTTACACTTCTCGACAAATATAATCTGTTTCGTTATTCTAAGTGGTTATTCTATTATAGGCAATGAAGAACTTGCTATTCTTAACTCTTGGGTTCAAGAATTCCTATATAACTTAAGCGACACAATAAAAGCTTTTTCTATTCTTTTACAGGAAGAACCAATCAAAGAATTTCATTATATCATTCTAAGATCATTCTATTTTGTCTGGTATTTCATAGGAATAAACGATATATAGAGAATACATTTTTTAGAATAAAACAACCTTGCGAGACGCATCAAACCACCTACGTCACGCAATGTGTGATAATTTTCGCAGGTTGGGGGTTTAGGGTTTAGGGTACACCCCTCTTGCGAGACGGAGTAAACACCCACGTCGCGCAATGTGTGATAATTAAGGGTGTAGGATTTAGGGTACACCCCTTTTGCGTGATGCCAAACCTACCTACGTAGAGCAATGTGTGATAATTTTCGCAGTTTAGGGTTTGAGCGACGTAAAATATTCTTCTACGTCGCCCAAGGTTTCAAGTTGTGATAATTTTGGCGGTCTAATAGTAAAAATACCTTGCGCGACGTGAATGTGTTCTTTCGTTGCGTAGGTTGCGATAATTTTGGCATTACCTTGCGCGACGCGTTCATTTGTTCGTCCCACTTCTGAAAAAAAAGGCGCTTTTGTTTGTTTTCTATTATACCTTTGCAGACCGGACCCCTCTCAGACCCTCTCATCCCTCTCTTCGATCCCTCTCAGACCCTCTCTCCTTCGACCCCTCGCAGACCCGACCCCTGTCAGACCCGACGGCCAAGCCACTCCCGCAGACGACGGCCCAGCCCCCCATACCCCTCGCAGACCCTAGATCTCGCCACCGCCGGAGACTCGAAGGTCGGCCTTCGAGCTTCGCGCCTGCGTCAGCGGTCTCTCTCTCTCTCTCTCTCTGCAAACCCCCTCTGGTAAAATTCCTCTGGTTGTGTAGGCTATTTTTATATATTTTGTTTGTCTTAACACCAAAGTCCTCATTTTTGGCTCAGAATTTAATTAATCCCACTGGTCTGTTGTGATTTCTTAGTAATCATCATGAAATATTAATCCCACTGGTCTATTGTGATGCTGGAGAAGATATATAAATATATAGCATGGGGAGGGAGGGCCATAGCTTTGTTATAGCTGAGGTGAGGCCAAGGCTAGGCCTAATTTAATTTCACCTCCTTTCTGTTTCTGTGTAAAAGGGTTTCTAAGAAAAGTTGATTCTCCGATCCTAGTTCTGCTGTATTGTCACAACTATTTTGGTGTTCATAATTCCTTTTTTCTTTTAAAAGTTTAATTGGTTTTAACTTAGAAATAATATTACGAAAAAAAAAAAGTAGAAGTAATTGGGAGTTGAAAACAATATTGATCCATCTATGTATCTGAAATTGGAATTGTCATTATCAAGTGGCATTTGCATGTAAGAGATTGATATGGTTTCTGTGCTGGCATGGAAATGGATTTATCATTAGTTTGGTGTGTTGGTTGTTGAAATGTAATTGTTCCTGCTTACTAGTCCCTTTTATTGCAAGTTTATGTGTTTCTCTATTATTTCTATGCTTTTTCGTTTTTGCTCCCTTTTAAGTACACTAATTGACCCTTGAGCCTGTTAGCTAGCTAGGCACTTTAATTTACACATGCCGCACGTTGAGTCAGAATCCTCCAGAGTTCTACAAACTTCTCAATTACTTTACTCCAAGACTTTTAAAACTTCTCAATTCTTTTTTCCTATGGTCACTTATCTTTCTAAAGAGTTTATACTTAAAGTGATTAAAAACGTGTATCCATGAACTCAAAGTCGTGTTTTCGAAATCTCTATCGCTTGTAGAAAATAAAAACAAAATCTGATAATTACTTATTTGTACTTATTTGGATATGGTTGTGTAGGCTATTTTTATATAATTTGTGTCAATGTATAATATATATATATATATATATATGTTATAAATTAATATTTAAAGTCCATTCCTAGCATACCGAATACCGGTCAAGATGCTTGTCCAATAACATCGATCGAAACCCATCTTTATTTTGTTAAGCGATATTTGAGCTCAAATGTTTCGGATGGCAAGAAATGTTAATGAAGACCAAGGATTTTTAAGTTCAATCTGATGGGTGAATAAAAAGGGGGTTGGTGGGCTGAGTAATTTGCATCATTTAAAGTTTCTAACCTACCTCTGTAATTTCTACAGTAAATAGGACCATGGCTAGGACCTTGAGTTTAGTCTGATGATTGGTTAGGTTTTTCTGTTTTCTTGAATGGGTTCCTATTTGTTTGATTACTTTGACTATGACCGAGCAAACACACTGGTAAAAAAAAAATTAAATAAATGTTTAAATGATTTTGGACCACATATTAGAGTAACTATGTTTTTAACTTTGGATGCTTGTTCAGTTGTGCAGATGTCAAACCTGATTAGAAGTCGTAAGGCGGTGACGACTGCACAAAGTTCGCCTCCCCCGGCTCACCCGTCAGCTGCCACTGCTCCAGCACAAATGGACCACTTGCCGGTTGGTCCCGGGGTCTCCCATGCGCCGGCGTCATCAGCGTCATCAGTGGCACAACCTGTTAGCGCCAGGCGTCGTCACCGCCGCCCCAGCACGACCGACACAACATCGACATCCGCTACTAGTGCGTCAGGGTCACAACCAGGTAAAGATTTCCTTGAACTCCAGCTGTTTTGGACCAAGATTGGTATGTTTGTTGAAATGTAATTGTTCCTGCTTACTAGTTATTTTTATTGCAAGTTTATGTGTTTCTCTATTATTTCTATGCTTTTTCGTTTTTGCTCCCTTTTAAGTACACTAATTGACCCTTGAGCCTGTTAGCTAGCTAGGCACTTTAATTTACACATGCCGCACGTTGAGTCAGAATCCTCCAGAGTTCTACAAACTTCTCAATTACTTTACTCCAAGACTTTTAAAACTTCTCAATTCTTTCTTCCTATGGTCACTTATCTTTCTAAAGAGTTTATACTTAAAGTGATTAAAAATGTGTATCCATGCACTCAAAGTCGTGTTTTCGAAATCTCCATCGCTTGTATAAAATAAAATAAAAATCTGATAATTACTTATTTGTACTTATTTGCATATGGTTGTGTAGGCTATTTTTATATAATTTGTGTCAATGTATAATATATATATATATATTAATATTTAATGTCCATTCCTAGCATATTGAATACCGGTCAAGATGCTTGTCCAATAACATCGATCGAAACCCATCTTTATTTTGTTAAGCGATATTTGAGCTCAAATGTTTCGGATGGCAAGAAATGTTAATGAAGACCAAGGATTTTTAAGTTCAATCTGATGGGTGAATAAAAAGGGGGTTGGTGGGCTGAGTAATTTGCAACATTTAAAGTTTCTAACCTACCTCTGTAATTTCTACAGTAAATAGGACCATGGCTAAGACCCTGAGTTTAGTCTGATGGTTGGTTAGGATTTTTTGTTTTCTTGAATGGGTTCCTATTTGTTTGATTACTTTGACTATGACCTAGCAAACACATTGGTAAAAAAAAATTAAATAAATGTTTAAATGGTTTTGGACCACATATTAGAGTAACTATATTTTTAACTTTGGATGCTTGTTCAGTTGTGCAGATGTCAAACCTGATTAGAAGTCGTAAGGCAGTGACGACTGCACAGAGTTCGCCTCCCCCGGCTCAGTCGTCAGTTGCCACTACTCCAGCACAGATGGACCACTTGCCGGTTGGTCTTGGGGTCTCCCATGCGCCGGCGTCATCAGTGGCGCAACCTGTTAGCGCCAGGCGTCGTCACCGCCCCCCCAGCACAACCGACACAACATCAACATCCGCTATTGGTGCGTCGGGGTCACAACCAGGTAAAGATTTCCTTGAACTCCAATTGTTTTGGACCAAAATTTTAGTAGGATTTGTTATTTAATGTTAATTTTATATTTCTTTGCAGCCAAGAAGAACACCCGGGGACCTTGTCGCCAATTGAAGACGACGAAGGTCACCCGGGTGACCAACAGTCGTATCAACATTGGATACGATGAGCGGCATCGGGCTGCACCAACGGCGGACCAGCATAGCTCATTGGCCCACGACATTGGTCACGTTGTTCGGACCTATTGCCCGATGAAATGGAAGTCTTGGAAGGTCATGCCTGACGAGATGAGGATGGAGGTACGCGGACAGTTGTCGGTATGTATCCTACCTTTTAATTGTTTTTCCTTCAAACTTTATATATTTCTATTACTTAATGTATGTAATTAATTTATTGCAGACGAACTACAATTTAGAGGACCTTGACAATGAGTCGTTGGCGTATGTCAATAGACTCTTTGCTGAGAGGTACAAGCAGTGGAAGAGCGACTTGCACCACCATTTTCAGGCATTTGATGATCCGCAAGTCGCTCTTCAGGAGGGTTGCCCGAAGGAGCTTGAGGGGCGGGAGGATAGTTGGGCGTGGCTTTGTGGTCATTTTCAGGAGCCCGATTATGTGGTATTTTTTTTTATATTAAGTTGAAAATTATTACACGTTTCTTACTAATGTTTATTTAATTTTTTACATTTCATTTCAATTTCAACTAATATGTTTATTTTTTGTATAACAGAAGAAGGCGAAAGCAAATAAGGGCAATAGGGACAAGAAGATTCTTCTCCACCATTCAGGTTCCAAGCCCTTCTCATATAGGATGGAGGAGCGGCGGCAGGGAATAATAAAGTCGTTTATATTCAATTTTTAATGTCATTAATATTAATTTGTTTTTTTCGTACTAACATTTTTCTTCTCTTATTCAATTCAGGGGGGGTCCAAATTCCCGGAGATCGACGTCTTTGGCGACGTTTATGTTCGACCTAAGAATTAGTTGGCCGAGTCCCTTCATGTAAGTATTCTTTAATTTTAATTATTATCTTACGCATTCAAGTTTCATGGTTATTATATGAAGGTTTTAATTAATATTTTATGTTATGTTAACCAGGCGACAATGATGGAGAAGAGCCAGTTGTGATGCAGGATGCATAGGACCTAAATTCTTTAGTTTTCCAAATTCTAGTAGGATTTCTAAGTTACCTATTTTATTAGGAATAGGATTTCTATTTTAGTTTTAATCCTATTGTCTCTAGGTTTTTGTTTCCTATAAATACCTCTGTGTAGTTCTTTAAAATTCAGTTTTGAATATTGGTTAAACCTTCTCTTAAACTCTCTGATTTCTGCTTGCCTTCTATCTTTTCTTCCCTTCAGCTTCTCTTATTCTTTTCTATCCTATTGCTCTGAGTGTAAAAACTAACACACCCAGGGTTGTACTACATCAATTAGTATTCAGAGCCTCTTGCTCCGCCGCTATTAGTCTGCTTCGTTACCTCTACTGGTCGTCATGGCTCCCAATATCACCGTTCCCAATTTGGCTGACCAATTTTAGTAATTAAAGGCGAAAATTTCTACCGCTGTCACTAATTTGGACAATCAGTTCGCCAAATTGATGGCTGATCAAAAGACTGAATTTTCATCAATGTCCACAGATATTGCCAAATTACAAGCTTCCGTGACACTGCTCGTCAACCACCTCTCAACCGCGACTCCTACACCATCCTCCACATCCGCTGTTCTCTCTAGTTCATGCACACCTTCTCTCCAGGCTGGTCTCCTTCCCAATCCGTCTCAGGATTCCAAGTTCCAAGGCCACCTGGGTCTTCCATCATCTTCTGCGGGGACCTCTATGGTTCGGTCCGAACCCACTTTTTCCGCAGGATCTGCACCTAAACCCCATTATACCCAACATACGATGGTTTCTCCTCTGGTGGACGCCACTATCCCGCCCTCGCCGCCCCGACCACATGAACATCACGTCGCCCACCGAAACTATGATTTTGAGATCGCCCGTCATGCCAAGCCTACTGCCCCTGACTTCGATGGTCGTGGGGATCCTACTTTCTTTGTTGATTGAATATTGGCTATGGAAGATTATTTTGAATGGTATGACATGTCCGATGCACAACGGATTCGATTCGCCAAACTCAAACTTGTAGGAGCCGCAAGCAATACTAGAAGGCTACCGAGCATCATCTCCAACAACTGGGACAAACTCCTGTGATTTTATGGGATGAGATGAAATTGAAACTCCGGGAACAATACCTTCCATCTTTTTATCGTCACCAATTGTTAGATCAATTATGGACTCTTTCCCAGGGTGCTTCAACAGTCCAAGACTATTATTCTCGCTTTGTGGAGTACAAATTGCGTTCTGCCGTGCAGGAAGAACTGGCAGTCATAGTTTCTCGTTTTATTCATAGCCTTCATATTGATATCAAATGCGAGGTCAATAGGTCACGTCCGGATGTGTTAGAAGATGCTTATTGCCAAGCCTTGGAAGCTGAGACATATATGCGACCACAACATCGATATCCAAGATATCCTGGTCAGTCTGCGACCACCAACCAAGCCCGCACTACCACTCCGGGTTTGAAGTCCGAATTTTCTGGACCATCTAATCCTACTGCACCACCTACCAAAGGACCGACCGTCTCTAATAATTCCCACATTGAATGTTTCCATTGCCATGCTAAAGGACATATTGCCTCTCGTTGTCCACAACGCACATTAACTATCGGCGCTAGCACGGACGACCTTGTGATGTAGAGATTGTGGAACCTCTTGAGGGTATCTATGACCCAGAAATTGACAATTGTTTTGATGACGACATACTAAATTAGGTTTCTGTTATGCGTTGTATCTATTCGGCACCCGCGCCGCCTGATTCGTGGAAACGCACTAGTATTTTGCATACCTATGTTCCATGCAATAACCAAACATGTAAACTGGTTATTGATGGTGGTAGTACCATGAACGTCATCTCCAAGTCTGCTGTTACTTGTCTTAATCTTAAGCTCGAACCACATCCCCACCCTTTTCACGTAGCTTGGGTTGATAAAACTAAACTACCGGTCACTGAGCTGTGTCTTGTTTCCCTTAAGCTAGGGACCTGCGATGAAGACATTTATTTGGACCTACTGCCTATGAATGTTGCACATGTATTACTTGGCAGACCTTGGCTCTATGACCACCGCGTGCAGAATTGTGGCCGTGAAAACACATACACTTTTCAACATGAAGGCAAAAGTATTACTTTTCGACCAGCCAATCCTGCGATTAAACTTACCAAGACTAATATTACCACCTCCTCTCCATCGCAGAAAGACAATGCACCAGTTCATCGGTTGGCTCTATTATCTTATGGCAATTTTGAAAAAGAAAGTTGGGAGACAGGGGTTGTATTTGCTCTCATGATCAAAGAGATATCTGCGGCCCCTTCCTATAAGAAATCCGAACCTCTACATCAACTCCTCAATGAATTCTCTGATGTCATGCCTGATGACCTCCTAGAAGAATTACCATCCATGAGGGACATTCAACATGCCATCGACCTTGTACCCGGATCACAACTTCTGAATCTTCCTCATTACCGCATGAACTCGTCTGAACGTGCCAAACTAAACACGCCATAGCCTGAGCCCATGTGTTGTACCGGTGCTTCTTACTCACAAAAAAGATGGCTCTTGGAGAATGTGTGTCGACAGTAGAGCTATTAATAAGATCACAGTTAAATATCAGTTCCCTATTCCACGACTTGAGGATATGTTGGATGAGTTGGTAGGTTCAAAATGGTTTTCCAAGATTGACCTTCGTAGCGGTTACCATTAGATTCGTATTAGGGAAGGTGATGAATGAAAAACAGCATTCAAAACTCCTGATGGATTGTATGAGTGGCTTGTTATGCCATTTGGAATGTCTAACGCGCCTAGCACATTTATGCGCGTAATGACCCATGTTTTGCATCCTTATATTGGAAAGTTTTTGGTTGTGTACTTTGATGATATCCTTATCTACAGCCATTCGAAAAAGGACCATCTGTAACACCTCCAAACAATTTTTCATATGTTACGCCAGGAAAAGTTGTTTGTTAATTTGAAGAAGTGTTCTTTCCTTCAAGAACAAGTTTTATTTCTGGGATTCATTGTTTCCGCAGCTGGCATAAGTGCTAATCTTGACAAAGTTCACGCCATTGTAAACTGGCCACTTCCTTCAACTTTAACCGAGACTCGAAGCTTTCATGGGTTAGCATCTTTTTACCGACATTTTATTCCTAGTTTCAGTACTATAATGGCTCCTATTACCGACTGTATGAAGCAAGGTGAGTTTCAATGGACCCATGCGGCCACCTAAGCGTTTGAGGTGTTAAAACAAAAAATGATAGAAGCACCTGTCCTACGCTGTCCAGATTTGACCAAGGTTTTTGAAGTAGCATGTGACGCATCTGGTGTTGGCATTGGGGGCGTCTTAAGTCAAGAAGGACATCCTGTTTCTTATTTTAGTGAGAAGCTTAATGAGGCAAAGCAAAAGTATTCGACTTACGACAAGGAATTCTACACCATAGTCTGTGCGCTACGTTATTGGCAATATTATCTGTTACCAAACAAGTTTGTCTTATATTCTAATCATCAAGCGTTAAGGTATCTTCATTCTCAAAGTAACGTCGGTAGCCGCCATATTAAGTGGATTGAGTATCTTTAGATTTTTACCTTTGTGATTCGACATCGCCCGGGAGCTGATAATAAGGTTGCTGATGCACTCAGCCGAGTAGCGTTCTCCTTCAATCATTGACTGCACAAGTTGTGGGTTTTGATAAAATCAAAACTGAATATTCTTCTTGTCCAGATTTTGGCCTCATTTTTCAGGATGTTACTGCTGGAAATCATCGTGATCATGTTGATTTTCTGCTGCGTGATGGTTATCTCTTTCGTGGAATGCAATTATGCATTCCCCGTACCTCTTTACGTGATTTCCTTGTGTGGGAATTACATGCTGGAGGCCTAGCTGGACATTTTGGTAAAGATAAGACCATCACTCTAGTTGCCGATCGATTTATTGGCCTTCATTGAAGCGAGATGTCACTCACATCCTAGCCCAATGTCACACCTGTCAACTTGCCAAGGCTCGAAAGCAAAATATTGGCTTATACAATCCTTTGCCAATTTCGCATACCCCGTGGAAAGATTTAAGCATGGACTTTGTTCTTGGCCTTCCTAAAATGGCACGCGGCCATGATTCTATCCTGGTTGTCATTGACAAGTTCTCTAAAATGGCTCACTTTCTGCCTTGTTCCAAAGCTGCTGATGCTTCTTATGTGGCCAAGTTATTTTTTTAAAGAGGTTGTTCGCCTACATGGGCTTCCTGTTTCTATTGTTTCAGACCGTGATGTCAAGTTCGTTAGTTATTTTTGGAAGACCTTGTGGAAGCTCTTTGGTACTTCTTTAAAGTTTTCGTCTGCATTTCACCCTCAAACAGATGGTCAAACAGAAGTTAATCGTAGTCTTGGAGATTTATTACAATGTTTAGTCGGTGATAAGCAGGGTAATTGGGACCTTATTCTTCCTATAGCAGAATTTGCTTATAATAATTCTGCCAACCGAACTACAGGTAAAAGTCCTTTTGAAATTGTTTACGGTGTACTGCCACGTCCACCCATTGATCTTGCTCCCCTTCTTATTGATGCCTGTCCTTCGGAATCTGCAACTACCTTTGCTGAGCACATTCGTCACCTACATGAGGAGGTTCGTCAGAAAATTTCTCTAAGTACGGAAACATACCAACTTGCAGCCAATACCCATCATCGCGCTCAAGACTTCCAAGAAGGTGATTATGTTATGGTACGTGTTTGCCGTGAGCGATTTCCCAAACATTCTTTTAAGAAACTTCATGCTCGATCGATGGGTCCTTATCGTATCCTTCGCAAGTTGGGTGCCAATGCTTACTTGGTAGAACTTCCTTATGATGTTCATATTAGTCCCATTTTCAACGTATCTGATTTGTTTCCATACCGGCGTACATTTACTCCTCCTATTGCAACTGAAATGACCCCCGCTATCATTCCTCCTGCTGCTCCTCGTGTGCCTACTTCCCATGCTGCTCCTACGGATCAGATCTCACAAGTCTTAGATCATGAAGTGGTGGCTTCAGCCCTTGGGGGGTTGTCTCGTTTTTTGGTTCGTTGGGTGGGACGTCCAGATACAGATGCTACTTGTATTACTAAAGATGAGTTTCGTCAGCTTGATCCTTCTCTTCTCCGTCGAGTTCAAGATGACTTGGTAGCAACTGAAGTTTCTGATACTCGTCCTCCTCTTATTCATACTTACAGTCGGCTC